TACTAGGTAGTTGTGTCTACATCTGCTAGTATTTATCTATTATTGCAATGTGCCGGGTATATTATCTTCACTAACCAGCAAAAAGTGTTTAAACAAGTGTTCTGGGTACCTGAAAGGTGGTGTGAAACCGGAAGTTTAAACTACAGGGGAAACACTCCAATACCTCCTTAGGGAAGTCTTTAACATAGAAACTAGATGCCTTGGAGCAGTTCGGATACTATACATACTTTTGTTAATATATTTTTCTGAGTGCAAAAAAATCTTTTTCTACTTCCCACTTCCTTCTAAATATTTTGATGTAGGATAGTCATATAGGGTAAGAGCAATGCACAAAGGATCCCCAAGTTTACTAAGCAATCTAATACTAGGCAGCATAACTGACTCGATTTTTTGTTTTAATGAGATTCTCCCTCCCTAGTAGCCCAGCCTGGCCTCAACTGGTGCCTCTCGTGTCTCAACCTCATGAGTTCCTGAAATCTATACTGAGACTAGATCATGACCCTCAATTTTACCTCAACTTCCATATATACTTTTTTTTTCTGGAATCTTATTATATAACCAAGCTTGAACTCAGTCCTCAGTCTTCTGACTACTAAGATTACAGATGCTCTATCCACAGTTTATTATTTACTCACTTGTTTTGCTGTTATTTTTTGCTTGTTTTATTTCAGTTTTGTTTTTTGAGACAGGGTTTCTCTGTGCAGTCCTGGCTGTCCTTGAACCCGCACTGTAGACCAGGCTGGTCTCACTCTGCCTCCCCAGTGCTGGGATTAAAGGTATGTGTAACCTCGTTGGATGTCAAACTCAGATCTGCATGAACTGCCTTCTACCTCCCAATGCTGGGGTTAAAGGTGTGCAATAGACAACCTGCTCTGTATTACTCTTTGAGACAGGGTCTTCTCTCATTCAACTGAAGGTAGGCTGGTAGCTAGCAATCTTCCTGTTTCTCCCCTACCCCATAACTTCCTACTCAAAGGGCTGGAGTTATAGACAGGGTCTCACTATGTAGCTCTGGCTGGCCTGGAACTAGCTATGTAGACCATACCTGATACTACCAACTCACAGAAAAGTTTCAGAAATGATGCCATTTCCTGACATGCTTCATTCAGTATCTTATGTAAGGGGAAGTTGTTAAAACCAAGAAACTCAACATTGATAAGTCTATTAATAAAGTCACATTAAAATTTTACCAGTTTTCCCATTAATGTTCTTTTTCTGTTCTGGGTTCCAAGCCAGGAACCCCACACCACATATTCTACCTACTATCCTCCCTAAACTGCTAAGCGGTTCCTAGCATGTAATACCCACAAGACATGGTGAATAGGATTAACTTCCTAAACTAAGGTTTTACATCCTATCTGGCACCTTCTCTAAGCTGCTAACTCTATAAATACAGTTTGCTGTTGGGTGGCCTATCTTGTTTACCCCAAAGTCCAGCAACAGTTTTATGTTAAAGGACCTGATTATCTGAAACGTGTATCAGCAAATCTCTCCAAGAACTTAGAAAAAATCTTCATGTTTAAAACAGAACCCACATGACATTTAGTTTTTATCTCCTTAATGTCTCTAATATGTAAGTTTCTTAATTTTACCTTGTCTTTTGTGACCTTGACAGTCTGCAAGAATAGTGTCCGTTGGACTAAGTCTGTCAGTTTAAGTTTGTGTAACATTTTATTGTGATTTGGAAAACATAAAGTTCACAGAATAACCAAAACTGAAGAAACAACATGTCCTCAACCATATTAGGTTCATGCTATGCCTATGTCTTACCGAATACAAACCTTAAGCACTAGGTTTGTACACTATCTCCACTGTCAGGTTACTGCTTTCTTTAGCAGTTAGTAATTATCTTAGGAGAGATACCCTAACTCTTCTCTACCTTTCACTTGCTAGTATCTCAGGCAGATGTTACATGAGACCATCATTATGGTACTGCTTGTTTAATGGTGACGTCCTACTTCCTTACCTGCTATGCTTATTCACCGAATTGTCAGAGCGAACTATCCCTTCTCCAGTCACTCGCCTATTCAGTAAGATGTTATCAGTAAGGACTTAGGAATACAGATTTTATGGGTTTAAATTCCATACTATCAGCATTCATTTTGCTGTTCCCATTGTTTTAACTTAGCCATTAGAAGATTCTTAAAGTTGGCTCCTGTCCCTCCAACATGCTTTTCATAAACCAGATTCGAATGTCCACTTCTATTGGAAATCATCAAAGTGACCATCAATGAAGACAATAACTACTCTTTAAAAACAGGGCGTCATCATGTTGCTCAGGCTGCCCTTGAACTTAAAATCTTCCTCCATCAACTTCCCGAGCAGTTGGTATTACAATTACAGGCTGTGCCATTGCACCCAGTTTACCACTAAAGCTCCATTTCTCTGCCTAACAGTCCTATATAACAATTCTAGCTGCCCTGGAACTCGATCGGTATACCAGGTTGGCCTCAAACTCACAGAGAATCCGCCTGCTTCTGCCTCTGGAATACTGGGATAAAAGGCATGAACCACCACTCCCCTCCAAGTCACTTCCTTACTATATTCAACTTATTATTTGATATTCATTAGCATTTCATGGGAGTTAGTCGGAACTACAAATTCATAGACACATACAGACTGCAATTTTTATGCAAAGAAGTTGTAAGTCAATCAACCCTAGGATAACTCCTGTCTGTAGACATGACCCGCCATCCACAAACACAGAGCCTATCAGCAATCCCCTCCGCTGCCTGAGCCTGAATGCCGGCTCCTGTGCTGACTTGAATCCTCTCCTCGGGCGACTGGCGTTCTGAACCACAAGCGGGATACCACCACCCAGGTGGCTAAGGCAGTGCGCCAGCTAAATGAGACAGCAGCATGGGGCACTAATAAGATACAAAAGGGGCTCAGAAACTGTAGGTTTTACATGGAAACTGCACTAAATAAAGTGCTGCTGCTTTTCTCTAGTGAATAGAATGAAGTAAATCTAGGTGGCTCTATTAGAGCTATCTATACCTTCAGAGTATAGATAACATTTTCAACTCGACTTTGACAAGTTTAGTTGCAAAGCAACTAAAAAACAATACATGAGGGGAGACACAGGAGGAGAGAAGGGAGAGGAAACTGTGGTTGGGATGCAAAATAAATTTAAAAAATATTTTAAAAAAGCAATACAATTTGATCTGTAGAAATAATTAAATTAAAGGTGAATTTTCTTCATTTCTATTTGGATTACCAAAATCATGTACTATAATTCCTGTAATATTTAGTATACAGCAGAGAAACCCAATTAGTAATATTAGTAATAGCTGTTTCTCCTTCTGTACTTAAATTTCATTTGATATTCCAAACAACCCTACAACTCCCCACTTTACTAATAAGGAAATAGGCTCAGAAGTACAATGTTATCTGCCAAAGTCCTAAGATCCTCAGGCCAGCAATGGAAGCTGGACAGAGCAGGAAGTCTGATCAGCGATGACTCCAAAGTCCGTGCATATAACCACTGTTCAGGACATGCTATTGACAATGCTTGTCGTACTGCACAAAATGTATGACCAAGAACAATCGAGACACATTCAAGCATGCTACAACTCTAATCCCAGCACCTGGGAGGCAGAGTCTGGTGGATTTTGACTCAAGGCTAAATGGTCTAATAATAGAGGGGTTCAGGTAAGCCCGGGCTATATAATACAGAGATCCTGCCTCAAGAAAATAAATTAAACCCCCCCAAAACAAACAAGCAAATCCTACTACTCTATTTCTCAAGTAACCATCTAAATTCTGGGTATTTGTTTATTACAGAAGCTCTCAGTGTGGTAATCTCTATATTAGGAGGGAAACTTGATTAAAAAAGAAAAAGCTTATATGAGTCAGCCAAGGTCACACGATAACTGTAGCAAAATTGATTATCTAGTTGTGGACTCTGCATCTAGATCAATCAACAATATTACTTAAGAAAGAGCCTCAAAATAATGCCAGGTTGCTTGATTTAAACTATCCCAATCCAAAAGGCTTCCCAGAATATGTGAAACTAGTAGTTCTGGGACCCTGGGGTAGCCTTTAAAAACAAAACCTTTCATGTATTTAAATAAACTATTTTTAAAACGTAAGGACAGGCACTTTGGGTGTGGTTAGACAAGTTTTTAATCCCAGCATTCCAGAGGCAAGAGGCCAGTCAGGACTCCAAACACAAACCCTGTCTTGGGGGTAAAAAAAAGACAGGAACACAAATAAAATTGGCATATTTAATTAGAAAAGTTAACTCATCTCTGGATCGATGAAAATAAGCATAAAATCTGACAATACGGAGAGTACTACAGATTTTGTTTAAAGAAAGAGAATGAATTTTTTTTGTTTGTTTGTTTTTGGTTTTTAGAGACAGGGTTTCTCTGTAGCTTTGGAGCCTGTCCTGGAACTAGCTCTTGTAGACCAGGCTGGCCTAGAACTCAGAGATCCGCCTGCCTCTGGCTCCCGAGCGCTGGAATTAAACGCGTGTGACACCACCGCCCAGCTGAGGATGAATTTTTAAAAAATGGGTATGAAACACAGCTGAGTACATAAAAAAGCAAGCAAAATAATTATAGGTCTTATTAAAACTTCAACGTTGGCCGGGCAGTGGTGGAGCACCCTTTTAATCCCAGCACTAGCGAGGCAGAGACAGGCGGATCCCTCTCTCCGTGAGTTCGAGGTCAGGCTACACAAGACAAACCCTGTCACTAAAAACAAAACAAAAACACTTCAAAGTTTGTCCCTTTCAGCACTATTAGTAAGTGAAAAACGCAAATGTTCTATCTTTTAAGGACTAGAATGACTGCTAGGACCCTGGTATGCAGAGATAAAGAGAAACCGACACTTACAGTAAGAATTCGCCTTTACATTTCAAAACTTAAAAAGTAATTCTCGTTCTTATCTGAAGTTCCTACCAAAAATCTACTCTCACCTTGTTTCGTTTTATGCTTGAAAGATTTCAGGTATACTTTCTGCACACTCCCGAAAATTATACACCCTTCCCAACCTACCTCGATTTCTGTTTGCGCCGTAGGGAGGTGGGGGTGGGGAGGGATCCTTTCTCAAAGACCTTTTGAGAGGAGAAAATAGCAGTTCAGACTTTAAAACATGTTAAAGTTGTGATTTCGTTTTGCTTACTTACAAATTCCAGTCAAGTTTTAACTCACGGGACAGTCAGGATCAGCGGCAAAAAGGCTGTTCCTTCTGCTCCACAGCGCTGGTCTGCAACCCCCAGCCGCCACGGCAGAATGTCGCCTGTCCCGCCCACGTGACGTGAACTCCGCAGGGAGGGGCCCATGGAATGCTGGGATAGGTAGTCCCTTGATCCCACCTCCCCCAGCTCCTCCCACTAGGCTTCCCGGAACCTCAGCACTGGCCTCCGCATCCAGCCACAGGCCGCTTCACTTCTTAAGGCTGAAGTGACAGACTACAAGACTCTGACCACCTAGTCCTTTAACAAACCTGAAATTCAAGGCCCAGAAAAACGTACGAGGGCAGTATAGTAAGAGACAGTACCTAAATCACCACTCAGACATGACTTTGAACCCAGCTTCTTAGCCTAACTACAGTTTGAGGATAGTTGAGGCTATCCTCAAACTGATTGCTTACTCTAAATCTCAGTTTGCGCATGTGTCAATGGGGATAAGTCTTTATACACACACGAAGTTATGAACTCCAAAGTAGCATGTCTGCTAATGGGCAATAGTAGGCTATGAATCAAAAACAGATATTTTGGGGCATAGTGATAATTTAAAACAGGATTTGATTGCCCAGGCTGGAACTCATTCTAAGGCTGAGATTTAAACTCAGGATCCTCCTTCCTATATAGGGATTAACAGGCCTGTGTCACCAGGCCAGGCTCCAGTTACATTTTCATTGTTATAGTGTTTAAATTTTGCCTGTGAGAATGAGCGGAGCCATCTACCATGTCTTCAGTTTACTTACAGTATTGGCATCTTTTCCTTTTGTTTGTTTTATTTTGCCTTTTTGAGACAGAGTGTCACCATGTACCTCTCACTGGCCTGGAGCTAACTATGTAGACCAGCCTGGCCTAGAACTCACAGAGTCTTCCAAGTGCTGGGACTCAAGGTATGCACTACCATGTCTGCTTTTTGTTGTTTGTTTCTCAAGACAGGGTTTCTCTGTGTAGCCCCTGGATGTCATGAAACTCAATTTGTAGACCAACCAGGCAGGCCTCCAACTCACATAGATCTACCTTTGAGTTCAAGGATTAAAGGCATGTGTCACCAACCATGTCAGCATTTTTTTTTTTAAATAAACGACAACAACAAAAAAAATCAAGGTTTTATTAGTCAGGGAGTGGTGGCCCATGCCTTTTAATCCCAGCACTTGGGAGGCAGAGGCAGGCCAATCTCTGAGCTCGAGGCCAGCCTGGTCCACAGAGCAAATTTCAGGACAGCCAGAGCTACACAAAGAAACCCAGTCTCAAAAAAGTAAAATAAAATAAAAATAAAAAAATAAAAAGGCTAGTGAGTGGTGGTTCACACCTTCAATCCTGGCACTCAGGAGATAGAGACAAGCTAATTTCTGTGAGTTCAAGGTCAGCCTAGTCTACAAAGACTAGCTCCAGGACAGTCAAGGATGTTATACGGTGAAATCCTGTCTGGAAAAGCAAAAACAAAGGGGGCTGGAGAGATGGCTCAGAGGTTAAGAGCACTGACTGCTCTTCCAGAGGTCCTGAGTTCAATTCCTGTCAATCACATGATGGCTCACAGCCATCTGTAACGATATCTGGCGCCCTCTTCTGGTGTGTGGGCATACATGGAAGCAGAATGTTGTACACATAATAAATAAATAAATCTTTAAAAAAAAAGAAAAAGAAAAACAAAACGAAAAAAACCAAGTTTTACTAGGTATCCCTGCCAGATGATGACGCTAGCCTCAAACCCTCAAAAACATTCACCTACTTATGCAACTCCCACCCGCACCATAGTGCTGGGATTAAAGGTATGTGCCATCAAATACAGGGTATTATGTAGCCCAATGCTGGCCTCCAACTCACTACATAGCAGAAAATGACCCTGAACTTCTGACCCTCCTGCCTCCATCTTAGGACTGTACCACCACATATAATAGTTTAGACAGTTTATAGGACCCAAGACTTAGTGCATGCTAGGAAGCATTCTGCCAACTGAGCTACATCCCCAGCACTTCCTCCTTTCCTTATTAACATTAATAATTTTGCCCTTGCTGCAAAAGCCATAACCCCCATAGTATTTCCCTGCCCAATCAGAAATATGATTATGCACAATAAACCTTTTAAAGAAAGATTTTATTTATATGTATATGTACATATGTGCCTATGGGAGTTAATATGAGCCATGTTTTTGCAGAAGCTCAAGGACGCCAACAAAGGGTATCAGACTACCTAGAATTGGAGTTACAAGCTATTGTGGGCCACCATGTTGGTGCTGGGAACAATAAAAACAGCAAGAATAGTAAGTACTTTTAAAATTTGAGCAAACTCTCCAGCCACCCCCACACCCCTTCAATAATAAAAAGAATATTTTAAAATGATTTGTCAAGCATGGTGACAAATATCTGTAATCCTAGCACTTGGGAGATTGGAGTGAAAGGGTCAGGAGTTCAAAGCTAGCCTCAGATTTATAGTGAGTTCTAGGCCAGACTGGGCTATATCAGACCCCGTTTCAAAAAGCCCTACTCAATAAAATATTTACATTTCAAACAGTTGACGAGCACTGATTGTTCTTCCAGAGGATGGAGCCACCCAAATGGTGGCTAGCAACTGACTGTAACTCCAATTCCAGGGGGTCAAATGCCCTCCTCTGGCTTTCATGGGCACCAGGCACACACAGGTACACAGGCATATATGCAGGCAAAACACCTATGCACAATTTTTTTTCACTTAAAAGTTGCTTAATTAATCAGCCGGGTGATGGTGGCACATGGGCACATGCCTTTAGTCCCAGCACTCGGGAAGCAGAGGTAGGCAGATTTCTGTGAGTTCGAGGCCAGCCTGGTCTACAAGAGCTAGTTCCAGGTCAGGCTCTAAAGCTACAGAGAAACCCTGTCTCAAAAAACCAAAAAAACTTGCTTAATTAGAAAGCCAACATAAAGAGCACATGATTTCAAGATACAGCTGTTAGCTACACATGAATTAATGCCAGTCATTAATTTCAATTTTTTTGTGTATCTGTATTCCCTAACATATGGCAAATTCTTTCAGTAAAACTCTTCATTTTTTGACATTTCCCAAAGAAACTGTTTAAAGTTCAAAGCTCAGATTGCCACACTTATGGCCCAGAAAAATCTCTTATATTACTGGAAATGAAGTCTACTGTTTATAATGCTACCTCTTTTAGTATGGAAGGGTGGCCCAAAAGAGATTGGAAAACATCTACAGCAGAATATCTGGTTTGACAAGAATGTGGCTTTAACTGACAGTAATCAAAGTTTGGTGTTTGCAAAGTTGCTAGGAGTGGGTGGCAGATGCCAGAGTTAAGATGATTCATTCCTATAACCTAGACAAGAAGGAAAATCCTAAGCAAATATCTGTTAACGTTAATGCTAACGCTACCTGTCTCTAAACTAACATTCTCATTTTTTCTTTTAAAAAGCTACTCATAAGCCTTTTATAAGCAGTTTTTATTTCAAAATAACACACATACCAATTATCCAATAATCTTTGTAACCTCTCATTTTCTTTGATTGACCAATTATGTATAAAACCTCTTCGCTTTCTTTTTCAATGCATCCTCCAAACCAGAGTTTTACAAGCGAGCACCCATGTTTCCTTAGTCATCTGTTGTGATAAATGTTTTAAAGAGGCTCTTAACACACACATACACACAACACACACACAGTGCATAATATGAGCTTAGAATATTAACACTATAAAATTTACATCCTTTCAATGCTGTACATCTATGAATTTTTATGATTGTTGTGTAAATTTACAAAGAAAGCATTACTGAAAACACACGAGCCTGATATTAAAAAAAAAAAGTCTTACAAATCATCCAGCCTGCCATGAATAAGTATCACTTTCGTTTTTCCTTAAACAGATTTTTTTTTAAAAAAAAAGATGTGGGGCAGGTATAGTGAACCACACCTTTATTTAGTTCCTAGCACTTGGGGGTTCAGAGGCAGGCAGATCTCTGTGAGCTTGGGGGCAGTCTGGTCTACACAGTGAATTCCAGGACAGGCAGAGAGATACATAATGAGACACACAGTCTCAAAAGATAAAAGGGACAGCTGTCTTGTTATAGTCCCTCTAATTTCTCTGGCTGTATTTCTTCATACATAATAAACACTGCTAAATGAAGTTTTAAGAATTTCCTGCCTGACTCTAAATCATCTAATTCTTTGCGTTGGTGACCAAACTTATGAACTACCAGTGAAAATTTCAGTAACTGGGAATTTGCGTATAAGTTTGAGCAACAATTTAAGGTTATTATTTAAAATACCGTAAAAGGAAACACAATTTTTTTCAAAACCATTGTTAACTGGCTTCCAAACAAAAAGTTAAAATTTATTCCTTTAGGACTAAGGATACAGCTTATTGGTAATCCACTTGCCTAGTAAGCTTGAGGCCCCAAGTTCAGTCCCCAGCACTTGCGGAGTGTGTGTGGGGGGGGTCTATTCATTTTTATCATAGAAAGTTCTTCAAGGAGACATGCTATGTATTTGAGTGTAGCAGGTTTCCTCTTGTAACTGAGATTTACAAGTAAGTTGACCTTCCTTCAGTTTGTCTCAATTTAGTTATAAACCTCTGGATTATATGTGTAAATATGGTATACAGAATTGAGACAGTTTTGTCCATGTTTTCATAGTCTGTGAATGCAGGAACTCTAATAAATGAAAGGCAGAAATACCACATCCAGAATCGAAGTAAAATGGCCCTCAAAATCACACTACAGCTTTTATTCAGGTACCTGCTCATCTACACTCTGCCTAACGCAGCATTCAGTCTTCCCAACTGCGCTGCTGGAATAGAACTTTCATGTCAAACTTCAGGAGTGAGGTTATTATGGCTACGCTTCAAAAATGGAAATCCACCCAACGAGTATGACTCAACACGATTTTAAAGGGCCCGGGAGTGACTTAAAAGTTTAAACTGGGTAAGCACCTTAAGAAGGTGCTTAACACTATAAGTTCGCTGTAAGATGACATGCAAAAATATCTCCGATCATTACTCCTCCTAGGGACTTCGGAAAAGGAGTGTTGGAAAACTGCGCAACAGCTTGGGATCAAGGACTGAAATTCGCCCTTTCCCAGAGCCTCTGGGTCCCGGGACCAGCGAGCGCCTCCTGTGGTGGGGCAACTGGACACCAACAGTTGGCACGGGCCACCTGTTCCACCACCTCCTTGTCGCCCCCACCGTTCCCTCCCTCAAGGACAAGGACAGCGACGCCCTCCTCCCCCTTCTCCTCCTCTTTGGTGCCACGAGCCAGGAGGCGGGAGTGACCCACAGCAGCTGACCCAGCTCGGGCACTGCCTCTCCCACAGCCCTCAGGACACACCATGGGCCCAGAGGCTGGTTTGTGGCACACAAGCGACGACGCAGGCGGCGGCCCCGGCGACTCTCAACTACCTCCCTGACCACTACGACAACCTCCCCGAAGCCATCGCCACCACCTGCAGGGGATTCTACCCGCGGCACAGCCATCCCCACAACGGACTAACAGCTACGTAAACAATTATGGAGGGAGAGAGGAGGCGGACCGAGGCGCTGGGGGAAGGATGGGCCATCGACGTCACACCCAGAGCCCCCATCCGGGAACTAAGGCGGAGGCTCGCCCCTCAAAATGGCGACAGCAGTGACGCGCCTGCGTACGGAACGCATCCGTCGCGCCACGGACGACGGGAAGTGAGGTTTTCAGAAGAGCCTCCAGAAGTGTACGGCGACTTCGAGCCCCGGGTAGCCAAAGAAAGGTCCCCGGGGGGAAGACGAACCCCGTCAGAAAAGTTCCGGCTGGATTCTGCGAAAGAGGAAGTGAGAGAAAGCACTTACAATCTTCGGGCTCGACCACGGAGACGGCGGGGACCCCAGGAAACCGAGGAGATGAAGACGCGAAGGGCGACACGGGTTGAGCAGTTCTCACAGCAGCCTCAGCCGCAGGCGTCTCCGACTACGAGCAGACGAGGGTTCCAGGACTCTGAGTCCTCAGGTGAGGACAGCGGAGATAACAGTCTCAGCTGCCAGCTCCCGGGCGCACGCAGTGGCGGACACGGGCAGGGGCAGGGCCGGAGGGAGGAGCGCCCCCGTGGAGTCCGCCCCGCCGGGCTAGGGGTGCCCGCGGCCCTTTGGGCGCGCACTCCCGGGCTGAGTCCACCCGGACCCTCAGGAGGGAGGAACGCACTGACCCGCGGAAAGATGGTGGTGCGAAGCGAGCTGAGCGGCTGCGGGTAGCTCTGCCCTGTCGCTGAGCATCACTTTAGGGGAGTCTAGGTCACCTTTTTTTGCTGATTTTTGCTAGCGTCGGCGATTAAGCCATTGTCGGAATTCCAAAATTAATTACTTTAGGTTCGGTTTCATTTCCGTCCCCTCTGCGAAGGCTTCTATGGAAGCCACTTCCATTTCCTTTTTTTTTTTTTAATCTCGGGGCCACTAAATCCCAAGCTGAGAATCATGGTTTTAAGTTAACTTTCCAGTCAGTTTCTCTTCCCGGCAAAACTGGGGGAAAGAGATGTTTTCTAGGCGGATGCTACAAAGAATAGCCGACCTTAATGAATTGGTTTGTGACTTTACTCCAAGTGCGGTGGTCTCTACCCACCCCACCCCCGTTTGAAGGCCAGCTCTGTAACCTCAAGTACCTAAACAAATCAAGACCGACAAAGTACCGAAATAAAACAAGGTTCTATTAATTAGGGAAGCCTCTTCTAAGTGAACCCCCAACTGCCGACAGTGTGTGTACTGTAGTTGTAGTGAAGTCACAAGTGAATCAAAGTTCTTTAAAGACATCCTTCCACACCCTGATCTCAGATAGAACTGAGTTGTCACAGGTGGTTTCCAGTAAGCCCTATGAAAATCACCTGTGAGGTAAAATTTGGAGAGTTTGAGTCACAATGGAATGACATAGCTGGTAGTGGACATTGATAGATCTATAAAAGTAGTGAATATTCAGCTTGGAGCACAATAAATGGTTCGCAGGTTTAACCTCCTTGCCCCTAAAATCCTGACACACTTGAAGACCTGTTGGTTTTGGAACTTTTATGCTACAGATGTGGACGTCCTTGTGAATGGAACATGACAGTTTGTTTCATATATGTGTTAGTAGTGTTTCTTTTAAGGTGATAAACTTCTTGAAAAACAGGAGCCTGTCATGTATGCCTCATAGTAATTTAGGTACCTGGTTTAATTCTGTTTCAGAATCTGAGACAGTTCTTTGTGCATGGGTGGCAATGTAACTGTATTACTTTTTATTGACTTTCCCTCAGAGCCTCCTGTACTTAAATAAATTTTACCTTTTGGGACATTTAAACATTTCTTCTACCTGCTTAAATCCTCATCAATTTTGATTTTGATTTTTTTTTTTTTTTTGAGACAGAGTTTCTCTGTAGCTTTGGAGATGTCCTGGAACTCACTTTGTTGACCAGGTAGCACCTAGTGCTGGGATTAAAGGTGTATACCGTCACCGCCTAGCTTGTGTGGTTTTGCTTTTGTTTTTTGTGGGTTTTTTTTTTTTCAGGACAGGGTTTGTCTGTAGCTTTGGAGACTGTCCTGGAACTAACTCTGTAGACCACAGGCTGGCCTTGAACTCAGAGATCTACCTGTCTCTTTTTCTAAAGTAACGTTTTTGTTGTAAAGCAACAATTAATAGTTTATATTTTGTTTTACTTATATGTATGCCTGGGCAGTTGCATGTATCTGTGTGAGTATAGTCACACTTATGAGCAGGTGCTCTTTTTTGGAAGCCAGAAGATGACATCAGGTCCGTTGGAACTGACGTTCTTGGACAGATGTGCTGGGATCCTCCAGTCCTCTGAAAGAATAGCAAATGCTCTTAACTACTGGACCCTCTCTCTAGGCCTCATTACACTATGTCTTCATAAGAATTCTGACTAGTTTAATTTGCAGTTTTGAAACTAGAGAAATTGAGTACTTGCATCTGTTCTGTTAAATGTGCAGACTCTCCCGGATCGTCTAACTTGTTTTATCTCTTTTCCCTTCTACAGAGGATGAATCTTCTTCCCAAATTGTTACAAACCAAACAGCCTCAAAGAAAACTGTCAAAACACCAGAGATTTCAAGTAAGAATAATTTGGTTTTTGTTTTTCTCTTTACTTGTCAAGGGCTCACCAAGAATTACAACTCACATTTGAGAGTTTTGTGAGTCAGTCCTCTAAATTAAGCCATGTGGTTCTTCCAAGGACAGACAAGAGTGAACCATTGAGTGAGTTCAACTTTGTATTTGTTAATCTTCACAACCCTGCAGGGAAGTATTCTGCCCCCTTAGTAGATGAGAAAGCTGGAGCTCTTGAGTACCTAAGATTCTTCTCAAGGATCACGTGGTATGTGACTAAACTAAAATTCAGGCTCACGTTTGTCGATCTAAAACCTTTCCATTTTCTCCACACCCTCACTTTCACTCTCAGGTAATAGCTCATAAAGTGTCAAATGGTTATGTCACAGTGCCTTCTGCTTAGCTCTTTCTGCATGCTAAAACCCTGGCACAGTGAGTTTCAGTGCTGTCAGCGTATTCCTATGTTTCGTTAAACCCAAGCTATCAGTTGTAGGGTACCACATCGTTGCTTTATGTACCACCCAGAAGAGAAAAAAATACTGCCAATTTCCTGGTAATTTATGATAACGTGCCATAATTACATAGTATGATTTCAGAGATGTTTAAAATGTAATAAAGAAAAATTGTCTTAGAATCACTCTAAATACATGTTATGTTTAATAGTTTACTAAAGGTTTTTGTTTTGTTTTGTTTTTAATTCTTGTGTGTCTATGATGTGTGTAGGTGCCACTGTGTACTTGTGAAGGTCAGAGAAAAACCTTATGAAATAGATTCACTTCTGTCTTAACATGAGTCATGGGGATTGAATTCAGATTGTTAGCTTTGGCAGCAAGTGCCTTTACCCACTGGCCTAAGAAAATGTATCTTTATACAAATGACTTTATTACAAATCCTTTACCTTTGAACTAAGACCATCTGAAATGAAAAATTGCTAGCATTAATATTTTATTTAAAATTAGTCTATCCAATTCCTGGTCATATACTTGATTAAATAGTTGAACAGACTATGTTAACTCTGAAAATAGATCACGAATATATATTACAAAGTGTGATAGCACATGCCTGTGACGCCAACACTTGGAAGGCCAACACAGGAGAGTTCCTCCAGTATAAGGCTTGCCTATGCTACTAAGTGAAACCTGTCTCCAAAATAAGCAGAGGCCAATCTCGCACATAGAATAGACAATCAAGTTGATGATATAATGCATATTTTGGTCTCCACCCCACCCTACTTTGGCATGCTGAGGATTGAACCCAAGGCCTAATACAAGCTGGAAAAGCTCCATTTCTTCAAGACCATATATATTTTATAGAGCAGGTAGATTCACTCTAGTGTACTGTTGTTAGTAGTTTCCAGGAGGCCGTCCCATAGAGAAATCTGCCTTTAGTGCTCAATCATAATCAAAGTTTGGGAAACCTTCTTGACCAAATGAGAATGATTGCATACTAAATCTTATGTTTCACATATTTTTCTCTTCCTACACCCATGATGCGTGAAGATCCTTTAAGTAACTTATGCAGACCCCCACTAAGAAGCCCAAGATATGGTAAGAGATCACTCTGTTGATTTAACTCTTTCTTATAAAAACAGTGTAACTTCTAGACAAGATGTTTATTCGTGTGGATCAAAATTTGGCCAGACATGGTGGTACACACTTTAATCCTAGAACTTTGGAGACCGAGGCAGGGGGATCAGGAGACCAAGATCATCTTGGCTACAGAGAGGTTTTTTTTGTTATCATTGTTGTTTGTTTTGTTTTGTTTTGTTTTGTTTTTCGAGACAGGGTTTCTCTGTAGCTTTGGAGCCTGTCCTGGAGCTAGCTCTTGTAGCCCAGGCTGGCCTCACAGAGATCCGCCTGCCTCTGCCTCCTGAGTGCTGGGATTAAAGGCATGTGCCACCCCCGCCCGGCATCTACAGGGAGTTTAAGGCCAGCCTAAGGCAGATACAACTAATGGAGTCTCTGCATCCTTTGTCTGCTGTCCGCCCTGCCTTAACATCAGGAGAGATCTGTGTCATCTTATTTTTCCAGAGATAGTTGTTTTCACCTGCATCTTTTGACAGGGCTGAGCCCACAGCCTTGCACATGCTAGGCAAGCTTTCTACCAGAGCTGTATCTACTGCCGGTCTCCCTTTTTAAACATATAGCTTGGATCAGTGAATATTCTTTTGCTCTTCCTTGCTGCTTGTTTCCACTTCATTTCACATGTGTCAGGATATCTTTCCATATTGATGTATATAAAAGGCTTCTGGGTTGTTTTAAAAGATTATTTCTTATGTGGTACTGTGGTTCTTTTGTGCTTGCATGATGCTTTCAAATTAAGGTCAAGAACTTTTTAGTTTTCTCAGTATATTACTAACAAAAAATTCAAGACAAAGGCTTTATAGCATGGAGCTATAAAATGTTGGGGCCTCAACGAATTTTCTCTTGACTAAAACTTTGGAAGTCCTTAAATCGTTACTCCATACAATCTACTTGCACTTTCTTTTCTGCTTATTGGTTCTTTCTATTAGATATCTGCTGCTGCCTTTAAGAAGATAAGATCTCATCTGAGCTTGTGGTTAAGGAACTGAATGCTGCTTTTCATTTTCAGTTCTAATCATTTTCTTGCTGTCTTTCTTATAGATTCAACATACAAAACAAATAGAAATACTAAAATGAATGAAATAGGTTTGCTTTTCTTTAATTCTTAGATGTTCTTATTGAGGATTCTTAGCAAGATGTACAGGTGTGTGTTTTGTGGTTGGCTCGAGACTATTACTTTGTTCATTATCTCAGCTTTTGAGGCAGCACCCCTGAAACAATGGCCTGTTGTAATTTCCTTAGGTTTTACTCTGTCTAAAATTATGTCTTATTTATTACTTAACTCCTATGAAAACACGTCATAATAAAGTACTTTTGTGTGGTGCTAAGGATTGAACCACGGCCTCACATATGCTTGCCACACATTCTACCACTGAGCCTCATCTCAATCCTCCTGTGTGTCTTGTTCTGTTGCTGTTGTTGTTTTGGTTTTGATTTGCTTTATGAAACAAGGTTTCATGTATTGTGACTAGTCTCAGCTATGTAGCTGAGGATAATGTGGAACTCTTGATCCTCTACCTTCACCTCCCAAGTGTTTGAATTACAGATGTGTGCCATCAGACCTAACAAAGTAAGGTACTTTCTATTAGCTTTTGTAAAATTTATGTACTGTGAGGAGAAAGGGAATGTCAGCTAAGGTATTTTATTCCCCTAGATTCAGAAACTCCATTTGTTTTTGTTTCCTAAAAGCCGTGCCCTTTGCCTTTTTGTTGTTGTTTCACTAATTTAAATTCTTTATAGTGTTTGACTTGATATAGAACATGAGATTTCAACATCCCATGGTTTTAGGGATGTAGGGATGTGGTTCAGGAGTAAGCACGATTCTTGCATACATGAAGTATGGAATTCAAATTCCCAGCACCTACATAAAAAGACAGGCATGGCTTCAGTGCTTGTAACCCTAACTGCTGTGATTGGAGGCAGATGGATCCTGGATGCTCCACGGCTAACTATCCTAGCTGAAATGACATTCAGGTTCAGGAAAAGACCCTGTCTGATGGGAATAAGACAGCTGTTGTCTTCCTCCAGTCTCCACATGCTCACGTGTGGGCACAAATAAGGAAGAGGTATATATACAACAGTAAAATCTGTAGCTTTAACTGGGCCTGTTGGCTCATGCCTTAGTCCCAGTACTTAACAAGAAAAGGCAAGAGGACCAGGAGTTCAAAGCCATCTTAGCTTTACGTGAAGCTACGTTGCATGCAGTTGGAATTCATTTAAAATTTAAAGACAGATTTTAAAAAATTTTTCTTTAGGGGCTGGAAAGATGGCTCAGTGGTTAAGAGCATTGCTTGCTTTTGCAAAGGTTCTGAGTTCAATTCCTGGGCGCAACCACATGGTTACTCACAACCATCTGTAATGAGGTCTGGTGCCCTCTTCTGGCCTGCAGGCATACACGCAGAAAGAATATTGTATACTAAATAAATAAATAAAATTTCCTTTATAAGTGCATAGTTATACCTTCCCCTAGTAAACATGTTTACCTAGGCCTGGTTAAGCTTTACAGAATACTTCAAAATCCAGTTTCTGGATGCTAAGATGAACTTTGCAATATATACCTTATCATATGTGCTTTTACTTACAGTAGTTTTCTTTTTGATTTTTTTTTTTTAATTTTGTAGAGTTAGAGCCTCATTTAGTCCAGGCTAGCCTCAAACTCACTATGTAGCCAAGAATGACTTAGAACTCATGATCTTCCTATCTTCACTGTCCAAGTCTAGTATTACATACTTTTGCCACCATGCCCAGCTTCCATGAGAGTTTCTTAAATTCTCTATTTAACTGGGCATAATTTATTTAACACGCGCATCTAATTAACATGGGGATGTGACTGTAGTAATCGTAGCACCTGGGGGAAGTAGGGGGAACGTGGTAAAACAGGATTGCCACAAAGTTCATGGCTTGTCTGGGCTACAGTAGAGTTCTAGGCCTGCATGGACTGCAGAGCAAGACTGTCTTTAAAAAGAAAAAAATATAAAGCTGAATTAGCAGGAAGTGAAATCAAAGCAGGACATAAGTCATAGATGCTATTGATTCATCATCAGATTGTATTTAATTATTTATATAGGCCTTTTTAAAGATTTTTTTATTTTTATTTTATGTATTTGAATGTTTGCCAGCATGTTTGTGTATGTGTCTGGTGCCCATGGAGGTCAGAAGAAGGCATCATATCTGGATCTAGAGTTACATGTGCTTGTGAGTCACCATGTGAGAGCTGGAAATTGAACCCTGGTCCTCTAGAGGAGTAGAGTAGCCAATGCTCTAACTACTGAGCCATCTCTCTAGCCCAGCTATATATTCTTGTAGCTTCCTTAAAAAGACGAAAACAAGCCAGACACACAACTATATAGGCTTAGCACTTTGAAGACTTGATTGAGAAGGACCAGAAGTGGTAGGACAGCAAGACCCTGTAATCCTGTCTCCAAAAAAAGAAAAGAGATGAAATGTTTAAAACATTGTATGAACTCTTAAATAGTGAGAAGTAGTCTCAGACTGTCTTTCTTACGTTGCTATGTATGAACAAACCTCTTTTTAACCACTTCCTATGTCAATGAGTGACCTAAATGCTAGGACCATAAAGGGCTATGAGGTTTTCTTCTTCTTCTTCTTCTTCTTCTTTTTTTTAATCTCAGAAATGTGTTAGGTAATGAAAAGAAAAACACGATTAGAAGTCACTGGAATCTCAGCACTTCAGAAGCTGGGCAGGACTGTGAGTTTGAGGTCAGCCTGGGCTACTAACTCAAACGAAAAGTAGTCGTAACTGTAGGTTGTTATAACAGTTTGTTGTGAATATGGAGGGAAAGTGCCCTTCATGGAGAGGTTCAACTTTTTAAGTAGGAAAGGCGTTTGATTGAAATTTGAAATACAAATAGCAGGCAAGGGCAGAAAAGAGACTTGCAAATACTGCAGTCTGCCTTGGGGCCTCACTAATTTGCCTTTAGAGACCATGTGTTGAAGGAGCTACAAGTCTTCAATATTGGTGACAGCAACTATGTTAGTGGTCTCTTTGTTAGAGGCCTTGAATAATGTGTAGAATGGTGTTCTCAGTCCCAGTAAGGATTGCTGTGTGTCTGTCTCTGAGTGTGTAGAGGTCAGAGGACAACTTGTTGTAGTCGTTTTTTCTTTCTTCCTTTCTTCCTTCCTTTCTTTCTTTCTTTCTTTTTTTTTTTAAGTTTTTGGAGACAGGGTTTCTCTGTAGCTTTTGAGCCTGTCCTGGAACTTGCTCTTGTAGACCAGGTTGGTCTCGAACTCAATGAGATCTACCTGCCTATGCCTCCCGAGTGCTAGGATTAAAAGGCGTGCGCCACCACCGCCCGGCCATTTTTTCTTTATTTTCCTTCCACTATTGGGGTTATAGGAAAGGAATTCTGGTCTTAGTACTTGGTGGCAGCTGAGCCATTTTGTCAGCTCAATGATGAGATCAAAATAGTCTTGTATAGCCAATTATCAATTGTGTCTTGAATGCTATTGATGAATATTTAAGGATGTTAATAACGTTAATAGGATTCTAAAGCTGGGTGGTAGTGGCGCATGCCTTTAATCCCAGCACTTGGGAGGCAAAGGCAGACGAGCTATGTGAGTTCGAGGCCAGCCTGATCTACAAGAGCCAGTTCCAAAGCTCCAAAGAAACCCTGTCTCAAAAAACAAAACAAACAAACAAAAGAGAATAACCAATTGCATGTTATTGCATCATCTTTTCACAAAATAAAATTGGGGGCGGGAAACAATAGCACTGGGTGAGCAGTGATTCTTGCATTCCAAAACTCAGAGAGCCAAGGAAGAATGAGGATGAGTTTCAGCTGGGGGTACATAGCATGACACTGTATATATATTTAAAAAGAAAACCCACAACCCAATTACTATTTGAAATTACCAATATTCAGTCACACATCTGGTTTCAGATCTTTAAACACAAAAAATACTCATTCACTACATGGAAAACTGAAACAATATCAGGAGAATTAAAGCAGGCCGAAATTTAAAAAAAAAAGAATTCTAAAGAAAAGCTCTTCAGACAGACAGTAGGTAAACAGTTTTCACCTATAATCAAGGAAGAAAGAGACAAGTGAATTTAGCTAGACCCTGTCATAAACTGAAAAGAACAATATGACTAAGTATTCAATGTACCCCTTTTTTTCATTATTACAGATTAAAAATCAGTTTAGTCTTTTACTTTGTGACACAGCCTCTATTACCACTTGACTTAGAGTTTGTAATCTTCCTGCCTCTGCCCCCCCGATCCTGGGGTTACAGTCATGTATCACCACACCTGGTTTCAATTCAGTCTTTATAAAAGTTTTTGTATAGTAAATAATTTATAGAGTAAGATAGGTGTGGTGGCTCCTGCATGCTATCTGAATACAGATTACATTTATACACAAATTAAAACCGCTGTACAAAGAGTAAAATACGATAATAGTCTTGTGATTTGAAAATAAAATTTGAAAGCTGAGCATGCTAGTACATACCTTTAGTCCTAGCAATCAAGAGTCAGAGGCAGACTCAGAGAGAAAAGAAAGGAAAAACTTTAGAGGGCAGAGAGAAGGTTCAGGTGGTACTGGCACTTGCTGCCAATCTTAACCACCTGAGTTCAGTTTCAGGAGCCCACGTGATGGGTTCTTCTGCAACTTGTCCTCCAATCACAACACAAACACACTCAACAAATATAAGTTTAAAATTTAAACTAATAAATGAAAAAAATTAAAGGGTAAAAGACTTTAAAAAGTGAAACCATTCCTATAATTTAGAATGAAAGTAATATTTTATTTTATTTATTTCATTTTTCCACACCTGGTATGTGTGCGTGCGTGCGTGCGTGCATGGCGGGGGGTTGAGCTAGAATCTTACTGTCTAGCCTAGGCTGGCTCACCCTCACAGCGAGTCTTCTGCCTTAGCCACTGCTGAGTGCCGGAATCACAGTTGTGCAGCTCCACATCCAGTAACTTTGCATTTTACTACTTTAAAAAAGAAAATGGAGGGGCAATAATGGGACAGCTCATTCACAGCATGTATTGTGCCAGCTTTTAGCGCTCTGAGAGAAGTGTGGTGTTATTGGAAAGTTTCTTTGAGGGGTTGGTTGTCTGTTTTCTAGCAAAAATGTTGACAAATACATTTTAGACACTGATTTATTCTTGCCATTATTTTCAGTAGAACTCAAACTTTGAATAATACTATACTAATCTAGCTAAATTTATGTGAAAAAAATTCCAAATTCATAATGTAATGTTTAGAATCACTTTCTGAAATCATACTTTTCACCTGTTGGCTTAAAATAAATAACACGAAAACCAACTCTCTAAAACAAAGTTTATGGAGAATTGCAACTATGGCAGGCCCGTATTTCCAAGGTAAAAAGAAGAGAGAAACTTAAAGAGAAGTCAGCCTTAGCTGTGTTGAAATAAACCACACTGACTACAGGAAGTCCTGCAGGAGTCGGTTGTTACTTAGAGAAAGTGTCTAGCTGCAGACTTGAGGCAAGGTTGAAGGAATGTGTCAGTAGAGTGCTCTGCCTAGCCTTGTACTAGACCTTAGCGTCAGTCCCCAGGACCACACAGACGGAAGGAACAGTGACTAATCTGAGCGGTTTGGGTTTTCAGAATCGCTGTTACAGTACTAGCACAATCACACTTTCGCGGAGCCTGTTGTGTTTGGCATAAATGATTCTGTTGTGATGCCGAACGCTCTTGAACATCTGCCCTTTTAAAAAGCAGATGGCTAGAAAAGCTGAAAAGAAATGTTCTCCTGGCTTCATTAAAGTCCAAGTCATTCTAATCCTCTATAGGTTCATTCAGTATTTTCACCCAGTTATGCTTATATTTGGGTGTAACTTCCTTTACTGAAAAAGACACTGTCTCAAAGAAAAAAGAAACAACTTATAACAAATCTTTCATAATAGGGCATGTGCAGACCCTGAGTCTTAAGTTTGATTGATGTGTTTGGTAGTTTATCTTTAAATTTCCCATTTCTCCACAACAGCAATGTGCATCACCCTACTGGAACTATAAAAGGGGGATTTCTTTTTTTTTTATTTTTGGTTTTTCGAGCCAGAGTTTCTCTGTAGCTTTGGAGCCTGCCTGGAAGTAGCTCTTGTAGACCAGGCTGGCCTCAAACTCACAGAGATCCGCCTGCCGGGATTAAAGGTGTGCACCAACACCTTAAAAAGGGAATTTCTTTTCTGTTCATACTTCCTCTTTGTCACACCAGTTCACAAAGGATGTGTTTGTTCCTTCAGCTGGTTAGGCTTTTGAAGGAAGTAGGAGGAGTCTGGCAAATAGAATTAAAATGTGTAAACCTGTGGTACCTGTAGGAACCTAGAATATTTGTCAATGTACAATTTAATGTTTTCTTCACACAAGTAAACAGGTGTTGATGTTATCTACATACGGAAATAACCAGGCTAGCTTAAAGATAGACAAATATATTTTATTTATTATAAGGCGAAGACTCAGGCCACAGACATGGAAGATCCAGGCTCTGTGTCTCTGGAAGCGACACAGAGAGCGCACCTGGGTGGTGCACAGGTTTTTATTTCCTGGTCCCAGAAAGCCATGCCTAAACTAGGTTCCACCTCTTAAAGATTATTGGTTAACAAGGCTTTCCCCATCAAACAGGCCTATGAAAGGAAAAAGTATACTTTATTTCTAGCTAGGTGTAGTTCTATACGCCTGTAATACCAGCATCCAAGATATATATAGTAGGATGAAAAGTTCAAAGCCAGCCTTGGCTACATAGCAAATTTGAGGTTATCTGGGCTATCTAAAATTCTGTTGCAAAAACAAAAACTAAAGCCCTGGGACTAGAGAGATTGGCTCTGAAGTTGAGTGCTTGCTCTTCCAGTAGACCTTAAAATTCTCACACTTCAGAGATAAGAGGCAGGTGGGTTCAAGGCTAGCCTGGACTACATAGTGAGTTCTAGACCGGTCAAGACTACACAGTAAGGTCCTATCTCAAAAAAAAAGATACCCTTTATTTGATGCTAGAGAAATGACTTAATTGTTAAGAACGATTACTGCTTTTGCAGAAGACCAGAGTTCACTTTCCAACATCGTGTCAGGTGGCTTACAAATGCCAACTCCAGGGGAATCAACTCACTTGGTTTCTGCATACATGTGACACAAATACATATGATTAATATTTTAATAAAAGCATTTATTTATAATACGATTTTATATCAGATTTATTTCTGAAACAGTCAGAAGGAAATGATAGATTTTTAGTCATTTTACAGAATAAAAAGCGTTTATATTTTGTATTGCTTTTTCCTTAGTTATATGCTCTTATTTATTCCTAAGCTTTATAGTTTCCATTGTTGCATACTTTATCTTTCTCTTCTAAAAACTGCCAGTATCCAACAGGTCAATTTCTCTGAAAAAAGTAATTTCTTTTTAACTATCATGTAATATATTGCCATTTTTTATATTAAAAGCAGTTCTGATAGGTATTTAAGAGGTTAAGAGCAGAAAACAGTCTTTTTCTTAAAAACAAAATAAAAAATCCACCGGTGAACTGTTACGATAAACTAGGATAAATTTGGATAGAATGAGTAAGGAAAGCCCTTCCATGCTTTTCAGCTCAGTTTTAAGGAAGCTTATATTTTCCACTTCTAGCATATGTTTGTCTTTGTGTTATTAAAACAATCACTTTCTGAAATTTTTATGACTAGTTTATGAAAAATATAAGCATAAATTTATCTCACTTTTTTGTTTTTGATTTTGTATGTTTCTTTTTTTTTTTCAAAATAGGATTTCTCTGTGTGACAGTTCACGCTGTCCTGTAGACCAGGCCGGCCTTGAACTCAGAGATCCGCCCACCTGTACCTCCCAAGTGCTGGGATTAAAGGCATATGCCACCACCACCCATCTAATTTAGTTCATTTTTAAGCTAATATAATTTGAAATTAGTAGTTTGGATATTGAAATGTTTCTGAGTGCAGGTATGTTACCCATTGGAAAAAAAACCACTGATGGGCAAGCATGTCTGAAATTACACAGGCATGTCTAAAATTACACAACTAGTTTACTATATAGTTTCTTCCTATAAGCTAAAAAATTTCCCATTATTTTTTGGTCATCTATTCATTTTGGACTCTGAATTAAAGCCTTGGTGTGTAATTTTTAGACATTATTTGTTTAGAAGATTATGTGCTAAAAGAACATCAAATACATAAGCTTAACTGTAGCTCATTTAGAACTTTGTTTTTCCCGATAGAAAGTACATTAAACAGACAGCAGCTGTATACTGGAAACTCAGAAGCTTTAACGTTAACCTGTGTTTAATGCAGATATTTTGAACATTAGCATAAAGACTTACTAATGCATTGTTTACTTCCTTCTAGGAGAAACTGAAGATGACCTCAAGAGTGCTCACAGTGACATTACTGTCAAGGTCAAATCCAGGAACTGTGCTGAGTCTAGGGGTAACGAGGCTCTTTTTGCATGTGACTCTTCTCACAGAACTGTCTTTTAGTTAAATAGAGTTTTAAATATTTTTTAAGACTTTGAAATTTTTTTAAAAATCATTTTTTGTTTTGTTTTTGTTTTGAGACAGGGTTTCTCTGTAGTTTTGGAGCCTGTCCTGGAACACCCTTTGTAGATCAGGCTGTCCTCAAACTCAGTCTGACTCTGACTCTGGAGTGCTGGGATTACAGGCATGCGCCACTACCGCCCGACATTAAAATCATTTTTTAAAGTTGTATTTTTAGTACATTGAAATTATGTCTTCCATTGTATGCATGTTATTAGTGATGTGTCATGTAACAAATAGCTGAATAGAGCACTTTTAGCCTGCTTGAATAGTTATGAAAAGATATTTTTATGCTCAAGAGCTACTGCCTGTTTTGAATTTTGAGAAATTGATCATATTGGTATTCAACAGTCTCAGGAGTTTTGGTCAGTTTTAGGAACTTTTTTGTATTAGATAATTACTTCGTCTTTTTAGGTCAGGTTCTTACCATGGTAGACATCACAGGGACCTTGTTGTTTCAGTATGGCGATCTGTAATAGTGCATGTGAACTTGCCTTTAAGAATACTTCATCGAGCGGGTGGTGGTGGTGCACGCCTTTCTCTGTTCTTCCCCCCCCCCCCCGGGGGGGGGTTTTTTTTTTTTTTTTTGTTTAGGGGGGGTTTATTTTTACTTTAATAAGCAGCAGGCGCTGTGTAACACAGGCTGTCCTTAAATTATCAATCCTCCTGCCTCAGACCTACCCATATCCTCAGTATTGCTGACATTAAAGAGATCCGCCACAGTGCCCAGTTTCTATCATCATTTTTACTATTTTGTTTTTATATGCTAGCATCCAAAATCATGGGTATCTTTTTTTTGATATTTTTCACACTTAAACATCTTTACAGTTTGTTCTTCCCTCTCCCATCCCTCATAGTTCTTAAGACATCTAATATTTTTATTCTTTCACACATATGTAATGTTCTTTGATCAATTCCCCTCATTATCCTCCTTATCTTCCTCTGCCTCCTGTTAACCTGCTTTTCCCAACAAGTCCCCTTCCTGCCTTTTTTGTGTGTAAGTCCCCCACTACATTTATTCGGGTTGCTTACATGAGCAACGGTGGATGAGAAGTTATTTATCTGGGCAAGGGTAACTTACCAGTGCTTACACCACTCAGGAACATGATTTCCTTTCCCAGCAACTCTTAACTGCCTGTTAGGTCCTTCTGAGATGGGATGTTGATGGCCCAGTCTTCTGCAGGTCTTGTGTGCCTCCACTTGTGCTTGACCTTTACTTCCTGCCAGCAGTCTTTAAAAGCAGTTATGTGCCCCAGGCTATTCCCTGTAGTTTATCTGATTCACTCTTTTGATTAAATACTGTGTTCTCCTATAAATTGATGCATCAAATACTTTTTGTTTTTTAGATGAAGCTGCCAGATCATACAGTCATCAAGAACAACCTTGTAGTTTACCACAGAGTGAGTAGTCCAAGTGTGTAAGACTCCCCATGGGAAGACAAACCCTAGGTTTTCTGTGATTTGTTTTGTGTCGGCTTACATTATAACATTAATTTTAGTTTGTTTACTGATAGAGTAGTGTTAGACTTACACACCTTTGAAATTTTTCATATTTGTTTTTGAGATAGATGATAAATAAAATATTGGAAGTAATATTTTAAGATTCAGATAACAGTGTTCCTTAGTGACATTTGCCTTTGAATCTTCTAGGGGTGCTGAGGGTAGAACCAGGTTTTTAGTACTTTTTAGGCAAGCATTGTATCACTTTGCTATGCCCCAGCTCAACAGTTTTCTTAGTTGTCATTGTTTTCTGTTGCAGATAATCTGTAATGAATATGTTTCTTAGGTTAAGCAAATGATAGTATTTTTTCTTTTTCTATTTTTAAATCAAATTCCAGTACTCGGGTTATGAATCAACTCATAATATTCTTGTGCATAAATAGTCAAGAACATTTTTTCCCTTCTACAGTTCCTTTTTGAAAACACTCATTGAATCTAAGTTGCCTTTTTTTTAACCTATCAATAAGATGAAAATCTGTCCACTTAAGCTGTATTATTAGATATGGCCTTAAGCACATTTTTCTAAATATACTTCTTAGTGTTTGATGAAGGAGTGAAAGGGTGTACATGTGCCCTTTATATTCACAATGCACATATCCACTTTAACTTTTTAAGGTTTTCTTTTTCTTTTTGTGGGGTGGGGTTCTAAACAGGATTTCTCTATATCTTTGGCTGTCCTGGAACTCACTCTGTAGACCAGGATGACCTTGAACTCACAGATCCACCTGCTTCTGCCTCCCAAGTGCTGGGATTAAAGGGTGCACTATCACGCCGAGCAGTATTGGTGGTTTGGTATTTTTTTTTTTTTTAAATAGGCCTGTTCTAGTTAGGGATACTGTTGCAGTGAAGAAATACCACAACCAAAAGCAACTTGGGGAGGAACGGGTTTATTTGGCTTACATATCCAGAGTCATAGCCCATTAAGGGAAGAATCCAGGAATTCAAGCAGGTCAGGAACCTGAAGGCAGTTACTGATACAGAAGCTGTGGAGGAGTGTTGCTCACTAACTTGCTCCTTATGACTTGTTCAACCTTTCTTATAGGACCCAGGACCACCAGCCCAGGAAAGCTCCTGTAATAGGCTGGGCCTTCTGCCTATAAATCACTAATTAAGAAAATTCCCTGTTGTCTTTTCTACAACCTGTTCTCAACTGGGGTTCCCTCCACTCAGTTGACTCTAGCTTGTGTCAAGTTGACATAAAACTAGCCAGTCCAAGTATATATTGCATTTGTGTTCAGAAAAAGTAAAGTTTAGCTGGGCGGTGGTGGCGCATGCTTTTAATCCCAGCAGTCAGGAGGCAGAGGCAGAGACAGAGACAGACGGATCTCTGAGTTTGAGACCATCCTGGTCTAGAGTGAGTTCCAGAACAGCCAGGGCTACACAAAGAAACCCATCTCAAAAAAAAAAAAAAAAAAAAAGACACCCAGGACTGAGACAACTTGTAGAGCAGTGGTTCTCAACCTTCCTAATGCTGTGATTCTTTAATAGAGTTCCTCATGTTGTAGTGACCTCCCCAACCATAAAATTGTTTTCCTTGCTACTTCATAACTATAATTCTGCTCCTATTACGAATTGTAATATAAATATCTGATATGCAAGATATCTGCTATGGGAGTGGTAACCCACCATTGAGAACTACTGTTCTAAAAGGAAGGGTTTAAGGCTTACGGGCCCAGAGGTTTAAAAATCCATGACGACTGAGTGAAGAAATGGCAGCAGGCAGAAGGCCATGAGAGCACACACAAAATATCAACACAGTTTTTTGAGCCCTCAAAACCTGTCCCCAGTGGCACACCTCCAACAAAGCCCTACCTCCTAAGCCTCTTTAACCAGGGCTACCAGCTGGGACTAGATATTAAATGCCACCCCAGAACTTATTGGGGACATTTCATTCAGACCACCACAGCCTCATTAGTTGGTAGATTAACTTTTCTTTTTCCTTTCTGTGCTGTGAATGAAAGTGTGTGAATGAAAACCTCACACACACTAAGCAGGTGCTCTGCCACTGAGCTGTGTCTTCAGCCATAGCCATTATTTTCATAGTAATGATCCTAGAGCTGGTGTGTTGTCATTGTCCTGTTCTAAGTACGTTTAAGTTTAGAAAGGGGGGAAATAAGATGGGAAAGATGACTCAGTGGTTAAATGTGCTTGTTACTCTTTTTGTTTGTTTGTTTGTTTTTTATTTTTTGTTTTGTTGTTTTTCGAGACAGGATTTCCCTGTTTAACAGTCATAGCTGTCCTGGAACTAGCTCTTGTAGATCATGTTGGCCTCGAATTCACAGAGATCCGCCTGCCTCTGCCTCCCGAGTGCTGGGATTAAAGGCGCATGCCAATACCGCCTGGCATAGAGCTTTGATTTTCTTTTCTTTTCTTTTTTCTTTTTATTTTCATTTTATCTTACTGGTTTTTTGAGACAGGGTTTCTCGTATAACAGCACTAGCTGCCCTGGAATTAGCTCTTGGAGACCAGGTTGGCCTCAAACTCACAGAGATCCGCCAGCCTCTGCCTCCAGAGTGCTGGGATTAAAGGTGTGTGTCACCACCACCTAAGTGTGCTTGTTAGTCTTGCAGAGTACCAGATTCCAGTCCCCAGCACCACAGTGGACAGCTCACAACTGTATTTATTGTGTATTTGCTGGCCAAAGGGTTGGATTTGGTTTCTTTATAGCACTGCTGGTAGATAAATGAAATGTCTATTTAACATCATCTTGTCTTTGTTTTCCAGTATTCTCTGATCTTATTTCTATTTTCTGTTTTAGGTCAGGACTTCACAGCTCATGAGAATCAGTCGTCAGTGCTGAGTAAGTAGTTGATAATCTGTTATCTGTTTCAGTCGACCCTGTTCCTGCCTTATTCAACCAATAAAAAGTTCTTACATGACCAGGCATGGTGACACATGCCTTTAATCCCAGCAGAGGCAGGTGGATCTCTAAATCAAGGCTAGTCTGGCCTACAGAGCAAGTTCTAGGACAGCCCGAGGTACACAAAGAAACCCTGTCTCAAGAAACCAAATAAATCTGGTATGATTTTAATTCATTTCATCTCAGCTTTTTAAATCCAGCACACAGTAGTACTGACTGTAATAATTACTCTGTGATGTAACACTACTCAGGGCTGCTTTAGCCCCAGTGGTTTACTTACAGGGTGAATGCCCAACTTTTTTTCTTAAATGTATTTAGAATCCAATAGTTTCGAACTCAGTCTTAGAGAAGAAAGACTACAACATAGTTCTGTCTAGTGAGTGATTATTTTTTGTTATGGGAAGGCTTTTGTCTTCACTGATTGGACACGACAAATTATCTTTTACTTTTGATGTTTTCCTCCCTACTCCCCTTCTGTTAGATTTATTATATAATGTTGAATCATGGTGTAAACTTAGAAAGTATATGAAATGATGTGTGTTATATGTGTTTGCTTTAGGCTCAGAATATCCAAGAAACCCTCAAGTCATAAGATTGAGGACTCGACTGCCATGTAAGTAGATACTCTCTTTTCTGCTGTGCTTTGTTGGCTGTCTAACATACAGATGCTGAGTTCTTCAGATAAGGAATAAAGGTCAGCTGTGCTGACTCCTGGATTGCCTTCTGCAGTGCCAGTGCAGGATAGAAAGTGGCTTCAGAAACTAATGGGTGGTACCGTCAGGCCTCACAAGCTCCCGGCTTCAGCAGCCGGTTTGTACGTGATAATGAAGTTGTCCTCTTCTAATAACTTAAGGCGTGTGTCTTAGTGGATTCTATGTAGATAAACACTGCTGAAACCCTCTCCCTCATTATTTCATGTCATAAAGGCCGAACTTGACAGTATTTTCATGATCATGTGTCACTGATATAAGACATAGCTGTAAATTGTTGAGATGAGATAACCATACTTGAGCTCAGTCTGCCATTGTTTCTGTGGAAGTCCGTCCACATTAGTGCTGGAGATGCAGCTCAGTGGTGAGTACTGGCTAGCATGCATAAAACACTGGGTTCAGTCACTAGTACAAATAACAACAAAGTAAATGGAGCCAGGTGTAGCCAACCTTGTAACCTTGTAACCTTGTAATCCCAGCATTTGGGACGCTGGGGCGGAAGACGAAGATGTCATGGTCAGTCTGGGCTTTAGAGCAAAACCCTATGGCCAAAAACAAAACAAAAAAAATTTACTGACTATGTCTGTAGTGGCTGTATAAAAATGTCTGTTCTGTTCTCTGCCTTGAGTGATGCTTATCTCCTGTTCCTTCCCATACCACACCGTTTGTTTTTGGTGGGTTGAGACAGCGTTTCACTGTACAGCCCTCCACCTCAGCTACTCAAGTATATAGGCATGTGACCTCATACCAGGGTTCTGTCCCCCTTTTCCCATCTGACCATAGTCCCTCCTGTCCTGTTTGTTTAGATTATATAAAGATCCCTATTTATCATTTGCTTATAGAATGGCTGGCACTAATTGGTCAAGATAATCTCTAATGTTTCCAATTCACTTTATCTTACCAGTAAGCTGTATTCCACACTTAAGTGAATTATTTAGCTGCCTAAAAATGAAATGCCCTTATCTCTTGCCTTATTTTTGACTATTAGTTTTTAATATTGCATATATCTGATAATAGAAGACATTTCCTCTTATAATTTGTTCTTTATTGCCTTTATACTGTATACCTAGGAAACCAAATACTAATTATTCATCTTATTAGAATTATATGTAATCAGAATAAAAAACGAAAATCTTGACTTCTTTCAAATTTGAGAGACAGCATCTCTCTGTGTAGTCCTGGATGTCCTAGAACTCACTCTATAAACTAGGCTGACCTTGAACTCAGAGAAATCAACCTGCCTCTGCCTCCTAGGATTAAAGGAATGTGCCACCACACCCGATTGAAAATGTAAATCCTAAGAAACAACTCTTAAAAGTAAAAATGCAGTAATATTTCATTTGTATTCCACAAAAAATTTAGTTTCTCATATTATTTCTTAGTATTATATTCTAGGAAATAAATAGCAAAGAAAAGAAATCTGTGCACATTGGTGCCAGGAAACATTTTAAAAATTTGTTTTAATTATTTTATTTGTGTGTATGTGAATGTCTACTTATTCGTATGAGTTAGAGGAGAATAAGTAGGCCTTACACTGGAGTGTAAGCGGAGGCTGCTAGTTCATTTCCTGGTCACCCAGACCCGGATAATCACACAGAAACTATATTAATTCCAACACTGACCAGTGAGTGGTTCATGCATATTTCTAGCTAGTTTTTATATCCCATATATATATATATATTTATATATACCCATTTCTATTAATCTGTGTATCACCACAAGACTGGCCTACCAGTAAGTGTCCGGCATCTTCCTCCTTCAGCAGCTCCATGGCCTCTCCTTGACTCAACCTACTCTCTCTCTATTTCTCTGTTTAGATTTCTTGCCTGACTTTTTTCTGCCCTGCCATAGGCCAAAACAACTTCTTTATTAACTAGTGGTAATAAAACATATTCATAGCATACAGGGGGAATCCAACATCGCTGGAGTTATTGGCAGTGGGTCTTAGGAACCAAACCCAGATCCTCTTCAGAAGTACCAAGTATTCCTCACAGCTGAATCATCACTTCAGCTCTAGCATTTTTTTAAATGTATGTGTGGCTTTATTTGTACACGTGGGTACATTACCTCCAGAGGTTAGAAGAAGGCGACAGATCCCTTGGAGCTGGAGTTATATATAGGTGGTTATGAGCCGGCCACCTGATGTGGGATTTTAACTCTGGTCCTCTGGAGGAACAGCACATGCTATCTTAACCTCAGTGTTACTCTCCAATCCCTTTTAAGCTTTATTTTCTCTATGGCATTGCTCATTGCAAAAGGAAAAAGTTATGTTGAACAACTATTGAAACACAAATATAGTAGTGCTGCTGTTGCTTTTTGCTTCTTGTATATAGCCCTGTGTGGCCTGAAACTGGATACATAGAGCAGCTTTGCCTGCAACTCATAGAGATCCATATGCTTTTGCCTCCCAAGTACTAGAGTAAAAGGTCACCATGACTGACTGACTTAGCATTTTTTTCATCAAATTTGTAGTTTATTTTTAGAATTTTATGTTTGCATTCCTACTTCATTATAAATTAGTATATTTACTATGACTTAAGTATTTATAACTACCATATCTGGGTATTGTATTGAACTTGGAGAGTTTTGTAGGAAAATGCACACAAGAAATACGCATGCATCAAGCCGAACATAGTGGTACATGCCTTTAATCAGGGTGCTGAAGGTGGCTGCTGATGACAGCGTGGGCTGCATACCTAGACCAATGGGAAGGAAGATTATTAGTCCTTTAACAAAGTTTTGTTTAGGATAAAACAATGAAGAAGAAGAAAATCTTTCTAATGGTGAAAAAAAACTATGGTGATTTTGTAACAGCCTTTACATAGATTACTCTTCAGGCCAAGATAACTGTTTAAACTTTTCTCCTGGATGTTTGTGTTTTTTGTGCTGCTGCTTTGGTTTTTAAACAGGGTCTCACATAGCTATCACTAGCCTTCTTTTCCTCTCGCCATCTCATGAGTGCTGGGGTCATAGGTGTGCACCATCATGCTTGGCTGGTTCTCTCTCTCTCGCTTCCATATTTCCCTTGGCATTCTACATGTCATCCGGGTATGTATTTCTGCCTGCTGTGGCGGGGGTGTTTTTAAATATGAGTGTTTCAGAACCTGGAACTTTGATTTCTTTTTGTCTTCTTGTATTAGCACCCGTTCCCTAGATGTAAAAGGTCCCAGTTCAGGTTTCAATCTGCATCCTAACCTTCTGGCTAAGATAGACACTCTCTGTACTTCTTTCTGCTTACCTTGTGATAAAATAGTTTAAAATACGTCTAGAGAATCAGATCTTTGAAACATACTTAGGGGCCTCTCAAAACTGGGAGTGCAAACGTAGAGCTTAGCACTAGGGCTCTTTGGGTCTACTTCCCACTTCCTAAACTTGAGTTCTCTTTCCTTTAGAGACAGTTGTGCCTTTAGCTCAGTACTGTGATGAGTCTTCCACATTAAATACGATGCTTAAGTCTTATCACATAACTTGTTTATTTGTATTATGGACACATCTATAACTGGTGGTTCATGCCCTCTATATGGAGTGAGTGACTGCTGCTGTAATCTTCAGGCTTGAAAGTGTCTGTAGGTTTTTATTACCTCTAGGGGTTTTCTAGACTCTAGTGATTACTGCCTCTAGTAAGGAAGATAGATTGAACTTTTAGGCTATGTCCTACCTCAGCAGTTTATACATAGCAGGCTTAAAAGTATGTTTGTGACCTGTGGATAGTGCATGTGACATCTATTAATACTTAGTTATTTGTTGTATCCATCATGAGGTAGATAGACGATTATACCACTCTCATGGATCCCATTTGATCTTTGCAACCATGTAATGATGTATTTAAGATGAACATCTGATGTGTTTGGAGATTTTTTTATTGCTTGGTTTTTAATAATGCAATTGTAACTTCATAGGCAATTTGGAAGTTTCTAATAAAGTTTCTTCAGCAGAATTAGTGAAAAACCGTGTGGCTTTTAGAGTTAGCATGATGTCATTTTATCTTACTTGATTGTTGAGTGCTTCAGTTTTGTTTCTGGTTTTTGGTCAGATGACTCAAGGCAATGTCTGTGTCTTAGCAGTCCATTGTCTAATCCAGTATTTCTCAAGCAAAAGTTGTTAATAAACGCAAGGAAGATCATTTATCTGTTCAAAAGTTGTCCATGCAAAAGTTACTGCAGGCAAGTGGTAGATGGCTGTAATGGCAAACGGAGGCTGTACCAGTAAAGTTGCTGAGGCTTTGTCGCCTGAAACAAGTTTTTTTTTGTTTTATAAGATTTTTCTTTTTGTTGTTTTGTTTTATGTTTTTGTTTCTGCTTTTGTTTTGTTTTGTTGTTGTTGTTGTTGTTGTGTTTTTTATGTTTTTGTTTTTTGTTTGTTTGTTTGTTTTGTTTTTCAACAAACAAAAAAACTGTTTTTTGTAACAGTCCTGGCTTTCCTGGAACTTGCTTTGTAGACCAGACTGCCTCAATTTCACTAATATCCCCCAAGTGCTGGGCTTAAAGGTGTGCTCCACCACCCATCCAGCTAAGATTTGCAAAACATTAAAAACTTAAACTGTCAGAATCCCCAGAGGATATACTTCAGTTACTCTAAAATAGAAAATAATGAGGATTTAAGATTGAGTTTTGTATGGAAATACCTTATTCCCAGTAATTTAGGTAGTCCATGATCTACATTTTCTTTCTCTTTACAGCGTCTTCACCAAGCAGCAGTTTTGTAAATGGTCATTTTCCAGATAATTTCGTGCTTTTTTTGTGGTATCCTTATCTTTTTGTCTTCTTTCCCTTGTTCCAGAGTGTGCCATTCCTATTAAATGAGCTGCAAGGCTTTCTCTCAACACTGAGTGTTTTAACGTCTACTCTGTGCTAGGTCAGTGCTGCTGTGATTGACTGTGAAGTTAATCAGTGCAGCAGGCATTCGAATATTCTGCCTCACCTGCTACCTCTGCCTTCTTTTGGTGGAATTGTATTTTTTTTCTCTAATGGAAGTAAGTGAGCAAATAAAACAAAATTGATTGTCTTTTGAAATTATTTTTTGTTTTTTAGATAATAACATTCAGGAATCAGAACTTGGAAACCAATCTCCATCAACCTCCAGCCAGCGTAAGTTTATCTGTTCATCGAGTGAGGCCAAAGTTGGTGGCTCATATTTGTTTTAAAACATTCTTTGACAGCCATCTGACTTAATGGTATTTAAGGCACCATAAACACTTCTATGGAAAAAGTGTATGTTTTACCAACAGTGAAATGTAGGCAAACCATATGAAATGTCTAGTTCCCTCTTAACTATATTGTTCATAATATCAAAAATCAAAGTTGATAAGTAGGACTGGAGAGATTGTTTAGTGGGTAAACAATTGTATAATGGCAGGAACAACATTTCCAAAATTGTAATTTTCACTTGAAATTTTGAACTTTAGACTGGCAGCAGATATTGTCTCTTGCTTTCCTGAATTCTTCAAGTAGCTGGGAAATGCAGGAGTGTGATTAGCCATAGAGTGGCAATTTTTTTTCAAGTAAAAATGGTATTCACTTATTAAAGTGGTTAATTAAACATACAGGTCAGTTGTGAAGCCCTTTTCCTTTGGATAACCATTGTCTGTGCTGAACTGCTGACGTGTGTGTCTTTACACAAAACACTGAGAATATGTACTCAGAGGGCTGAAAGTCTTGAGTTTTCTTTTTTATGGTGCTGGGGATCATGCCAAGACCCTCACACATGCTATTTATGCCAAGTTCTCCTTGCCCCAGTCCACAAGGACTGAGGTAGAACAAAATTATTAGCTACTTCATGAAGGACAGTCTTAAATGAAACTGGTTCTTCCTCTTTCCCTTTAAAAAATGATTACATTTATTTATTATATGTTATCAGACTTAGTGACACGCACCTATATATCTACTAAGCCATCTCACCAGCCCTAATTATTTTGTTGTTGCTTTTAAGTTTTTTTTGTTTTTTTTGTTTTTGTTTTTAAACAGAGTCCCTCTGCATAGCCCTGGATTGCCTGGAACTCACTATATATAGACCATGCTGGCCTTGAACTCACAGAAATCCACCTGCCTCCTGATTGCTGCTCTTAAAGGCGTGCATCACAGTGCCTACATTCCCTGATTATTTTTAGTCTTGTATGCTGGCAGTAAAAACTACAGTGAATTTGCTAATACAGCTCTGAGTGCTGGTCTCCAGTCATTCCAGTGCAAGTGTCATCACAGTAGAAAACACGGAAATATCTTACTGTTAATTTTCAGATCGACACCAACAAATATTGTTTAAGATAGCTTCAGGCCACACTCAGATTGCTGCTCTAAAAGATCCCTAGTACCTCTATTAGGCTAAAGTAAATAAAACATTCAGAAGTGGTACTATAACATGGTAGCTGTTGTAGCATGTGAAATGCATTCATTGCCTTTAATCCCAGCACTCGGGAGGCAGAGGCAGGTGGATCTCTGTGAGTTTGAGGCCAGTCTGGTCTACAAGAGCTAGTTCCAGGACAGGCTCCAAAAAAAAAAAAAAAAGAAAGAAAGAAATGTTTTATGTTGAACTTTTTCGTTATTGTACTTCAGAAATATTCAGCCCTAGATAGCCAGCCATGTTAACTACTGAGTTTCCAAATTAAACAGTTTTATAAAGCTGCTTACTTTACAACTATTAGAAAATACTCATAATTCTTGTTTTATAAACAGTTTTGCTTCTGAAAATATGAATTCTGAAATTTTTAAATATGAAAAAATTAAGATATATTTAAATTATTTTTCTTTAGAAACAGTTGTCTTTCTAACAATTATATTTAGCTATAACTTAGCTTTTATGAGCTTTTTCTGAAGAGGATATATTTATTTAAGAAAAAAACATTACCAGCTCCTTTCTTTAAAGTACTTTCCCTTAGTCAGACATGGTGGCACACACTTTTAATCCCAACACTCAAGAGGCAGAGACAGGGATGTTGTTTGAGGAGCAGACCTGCTTTTCACCCTGCTCCCGGCCGCCCAGCTAGCTTACACCCGAAATAACAACATGGAAACTGTATTCATTTAAACATTGCCTGGCCCATTATCTCCAGCCCCTTATTGGCTAATTCTCACATATTAGTTTAACCCATTTCCATTAATGTGTATCGCCACTTGACTGTGACTTACCAGCATGAGTCTAACCAGTGTCTGTCTCAGAGAGGAGAGCCATGGCATCTGCCACACCGCCTTCTTCCTCCCAGAATTCTGTTCTGTCTACCACGCCCATCTAAGGGCTGCCCTTTCAAAAGTCCAAGGCAGTTTTCTTTATTCAACCAATAAAAGCAACACATAAAAAGAAGACCCTCCTACACCACAGGGAGTTTCAGGTTAGCCTGGTCTGCATACTGTGTTCTAGACAGAGTCGTGCATGGGGCTAGAGATGCAGTTGAGCTGCTAGGATTATGTGCTGCTCATGCAGAGGAGCTGGGTTCAATTCCCAGCACCTCTCAGACATTCAGTCACCTGTAACCAACTCCAGGAGACTCGTTGCATTTAACCTCTGCAGAGTGAGTGCTTGCCCACATATGCACTTACACAGAATGAAAAGAAATCACTCACCCTAGAATCTAAGAAAATGTAATATGTGTTGTGCCCCCTCCCCCCCAGCAGAAACTGCTGAACAACTGCAAAATGAGTCTTCTGTCAACATAAAGCCGCGGCTGCTCCTTCTGCTCGGTCTGCTCGTCGCCCTTCTCTTTGGAGTGTTTTGGTTCTTTAATACTCCTGCAGTAGAAACCACTGCCGTTCAAGAATTTCAGAACCAGATGAAACAACTTCGGTCTAAGTACCAGAGTCAAGACGAGAAGCTGTGGAAAAGAGGCACAACATTCCTAGAAAGACATCTGAATAGCTCCCTCCCTCGGCCCCAGCCTGCCATCCTTTTGCTCACTGCAGCCCAAGATGCTGAAGAAGTGCTCAAGTGTCTGAGTGAACAAATTGCCGATGCCTATTCTTCCTTCCGTAGTGTCCGTGCCATCCGGATTGATGGGGCAGGGAAAGCTGCTCAAGACAGTGACGAGGTCAAACAGCAGGTAGATCAAGAACTGAGCGATGGGTTTAGAAATGGCCAGAATGCAGCTGTGGTACACCGTTTCGAGTCCCTGCCTGCAGGCTCAACCTTGATCTTCTATAAATACTGCGACCATGAGAACGCAGCCTTCAAAGATGTAGCCCTAGTCCTGACTGTACTGTTGGAGGAGAAGACACTGGAAGCCAGTCTAGGCCTAAAGGAAATTGAAGAGAAAGTGAGGGATTTCCTCAAAGTCAAGTTCACCAGCTCTCACACGGCCAGCTCCTACAACCACATGGACCCAGACAAGCTGAATGGGCTCTGGAGCCGCATTTCTCACCTGGTGCTGCCCGTGCAGCCCGAAAATGCCCTGAAAGGGGGCAGCTGCCCGTGAGGGGGAAGCGGAAGTCACGTCTCTAGGTCTGGGCAGTTTTCAGACTTTCTAACTAGAGACGGAATCTAGAGCAGTTTTTGAAAACTGATTTCTTTTTAAAGGAAATTAAGTTCATACATAAAAGTGGAATACCTAAATTGTTTATGCAGCCTGATTATCTGATTTGAGAAAATTGATTGTTTCCACTGAGAACTCTGTTAAGGGTATTTAGCATGGGCTAACGTCTATGCAGTTCCCCGTGGACCTGCTTTGATTCTGCCCAAATCATTCTTGCTGTGCTGTGACCTGTGAGAAGGACCAGGTGCCTTTCTCAAAGAATCAACATTCTTTTTAACTTTGGATTTTTTGTTTGTTTGTGGCCTTTTTAGTCTGACAGCTTTCTAATTGTAGCTGTGGGTTTCCCCATTACTTTTCCATTTATACCATTTTTAAGTGTGTGATCCTTAGCTTTTACCTATAAAAGACAAAAGTCATCTGGGTGTGCAGTTTAGCCCCTCCCCCCACTGACTTTAGAGAGGGGAAGAAGAGGGCTTGGGAAGTGGAAAGGGAAGAGAAATTGTTGAATGGAGAAGGAAAAGGAAGGGGAAAAATAGCTGCAAGCTGGGCAGTGGTGAGCCATGCCTGCAATCTCAGCACTTTCCTAGGGTAGAGTCAGGAGGGTCAGAAGTTCAAGGCCAGCCTCATCCATATAGTAATTTCTTCTGCCACCCTGGGCTACATGAGACACTGTTTTTTTTGTTTTTTACTTTGTTTTTAAATAAAAAGGGGGGAGGTTTCAAAATGAAATGTTACTTTAAAGGAAAGCACGTGTCTCGGCTGTTACCTGGGGAGCTGCTACAGTTTGCCCTCCATGCTTCTGTCTTTTTCCCCACCTAAAGAAAGTTCTTGGTGTGAAGCTAAGCTCAGTGGTAGAGCATTTGCCCAGCTTGTTCATTACCCTGGGTTCAGTGACCAGCATTCCACACGCCTGTAATCTCAGTGCTCAACAAAATGAGGTGGTAGCATCTTGAATTCAAAGCCAATCTGGAATGTATATGTCAGACCCCATCCCAATCCCACTCCCCAGTAAAAGGGAATTCCCACAGCATATCTGTCATGTTTATATCTGTATTTGACGCATACCAGTTTTAAAGGTAGGTCTCTTTGGTTTAACCTGACAGTTTCTATCTTAAAGAAATACAATTTCCAGTACATCCTCAACTTGATGGTTTGGACTCTTTAATTTTTTGCTTTTTCCAATACCAGGGATTGAACCTAAGACCCAGCCCTGCTGGTCAAGTGCTCTGCCACTGAACTACATCATGCCTCGGCAGTAGAAATGCATTTCAAAGTCAGGTGGCTCCTGTCTATAATTTCAGCACTTGGGAAGCTGAAGCAGGAGGGATGCTGTGAATTCATGGCCATCACTAACTGTATAGTGAGTTTCAAACCATCTTGCACAGGTTGCAGATTGAAATACTGTCTTAGCATACACACACACACACACACACAAAGACAACATCAAAAATTGGTAAACAGTTCTCTGCTGGGCTGTTGAAGAGGACTCCATTCTGTGCTTGTATGTGTGTACTTTAACTCCATAACAAATACAAAAATATCCTGTGCACATGATCGGTTTTGTTGAGTGCCTCAAATCAAAGGAGTGAACCTGACCACACGTGAAGCATGTGGGACATGTCTCCACTGCTATAGTATTTTAGGGTTTTTTGACCACACGTGAAGCCTGCGGGACATACGTTTCTTCTGTACACATTAAGCATGTGAGACATATTTTTCCACTGCACATGTGAAGCATGTGGAACATATGTTTCCACTGCTGTGGTATCTTAGGGTTTTTTGCACTTAAAATTTGGCTTTCTCATCTGTCAACTGCTTTGTCTTCAACTCTTATAATTCTAGGTCTGAGTTCTTTTGCCCATTGGCATCTAAACGAAAATTCTACTTTTCAGTACTAGCCAATGTTTCTTTACCCCTGGGGTCTCATGGTGGGTGGGAGAAAGAGGTCTAGCTTCTTTTCAGGGGGACTACCAGCATCTGTACCTTTATTATAATCCATTCCTGTCAGAAGGCAAGCAATCAGGTTTATTTTATAAAGAATTATTAAGAAGTTTGGAAAAGTCTTTATTTTTTACATACATATCATATGGAAAAAGAAGTGTTTTATTGAATGTTCCACTGACTTAAGTAATTTTGAAGTGATATGTTGCTTATATTTGTCAGGAAAAAATTGTAGCAGCTAATGTGTAAATAACTTTAAAAACTATTTTAGTAATTTAAATAAATTTACTTTTTGTAGTCTGTGTATTATAAACTTAAATGATTTACAGGCGTGTTTTTTTCAATTAATCCAACTTTTCTTTGCAAATTTTAATGACCTTGGCTAAGAGAAGCTCAAGTCAAACAAGCACATTGCTTAGAAACATAGTGATGATGATGTTTTTATCCATGTAGTTTGACTTAACATTCAAGTAGAGTTGCTTTAGTGTCTAGATTTCCCAAGAGTCTCTGTAACAGGTTCTTAATTCCCTTCCTGAAGAACGTTTTTAGATTTCCTAGTCACCCCTCATTCTGTATCACATATTCACTGTATATCTGTTCATAGACTACATATTATAGTGCTTTATAGATATTCTGACATACACATACCCCCATAAACCAATTTTCATAGTCACTGAGGATGTGTACTCAAGAATATTCCCAATTTTTTTTTCATTTTATTTATTTTATGTGAGCATACACTGCCGCAGTAGTCATGTACTGAGTATACATTGTGGGAGTCATTTCTCTTTTACTGTGTGGGTTCTGGGGCTCTAACTCAGGTTTAGACTTAGTAGCAACTTCCTTTACTGACTGAGCCATTTTACTAACCCTTATTATACCTGTTAGAAGGACGGGGGCATCACACACTTACCTAGCAGGCACAAGGCCCTGGGTTCAGTCCTCAACACCTATTATGTGAATAAGCAAAGGGAAAGTGACTTCCTGGGTGTTGGAGGTCAGCCTGGGCTAAATAGCACCACTGTGTCCTAAAAAAACCAGGACTGGGGTGATACCTAAGGCTCTGGGTTCGCTGCCCCTGCACAGCCAACGAAAACAGATCTGAATGTTACTTAAACATGGCTTTAACTCTGCTTTCCTCCATTGGTGTTTATGATCCTTTCAAAAGAGAAGTAAGCATCAGCAGGATAGAGGAAATTCAGGTCTCCAGAAAGTGAGCACTGTGATTTTGACAATAGTAGCCCAGGAATTTCACAGTACATTATCAATTTTACATTTTCTAAAAACTAAATTTGCTTCCCTTTCAATTACTTTCTTTACATTTTTTAATTCTCAAAGTAAACTGATTTTCCTTCAATGACAATTAACAGAGATGAAAGTTTGTATATTTCATGTCAATGCCTAAGCTGAAAATGGGAAACCTATAGTGATTGTTTTGTTTTCGTTAGTTTTTCGAGACAGGGTTTCTCTGTGTAACAGCCCTAGTTGTCCTGGAACTTGCTCTATAGACCAGGCTAGCCTCAAACTCACAGAGATCTGCCTGCCTCCGCCTCTCAAGTGCTGGGATTAAAGGCGAGTGCCACCACCGCCCAGCCCGTGTGATCTGAAGTGCCCTTTATGTTGCCTGTGTATATCTGGAGTTCTCATGAAGGTGATGAAGATGATGAAGTTATTTGCTGAATTGTAAGGACATGGTCACAAAGCAACTTCTTGTGAATGAGTCCATGTAATCTCTTCCCAAGGAAGATTTTACTGACTAACCACCGAGAACCCTGTGTGGCTAAAGATGCTCTTGTCTTGTAGGGAAGTGTAGTCTCATCCGAACAGAGAAATACTTACACTGCACATTGCGGGCAGGACGTTTGGCCTCTTACATCCTGCATGTTCTTGGACTCTTAGACATCCTCTTCCTGACTTCCTTTTTGCAGTCGTACTATTTGGCTGAGTTTTGCTTCTAAGTCTTAAGCGAAATCTTCCCTTACTCTCCTGTTACTGCTGTGTGTGTGTGTGTGTATACGACCTTTATGATTATCTGTACATGTGTGTAACTTCAAAGCTTAAGAGACCTTAAGAAGCCAGTGGTGGGATATGGACAGTTCCTAGGTTAAGGATGATTTGAAGACTGGAAAACAAAAAATCCATCGCCAGAGTCACAAGATCACCAGTAAGTAAGGCCCCTGATGAAAAGAAGCGTGTATGTAAGTTGGCTGAGGCTGTGGCCAGAGCCTGATCCCGCGCTCAAACCTGTTGAGGCATGAGTGACTTACTCCAGAGAAGTGAAGAGGAAAAGGAGGGGGTGGTGGTCTGCCTCTCCTGACTGAATTTATCTAAAGTGACAGGACTGGCTGGGCTCCTCCCCTTTGTGTTCTCATTTATCCCACAGTGCTCACGTGAGTGTGGACTATCACTGCCATTTGCAGGGAGCAGGAATTGTTAATAGTTAATGATGGTAGTTAGGCCCCACAATGGTACACATTTATAATTGTAGCCACTCAAGTGGCTGAGGGAGGATTGCTTGAACTCAAGAGCTCAGGGCTAGCCCGGGCAATATAGTGAATTAAAAATTAGGCTGGAGAGATGGCTTAGAGGTTAAGAGCTGTTCTTCCAAAGGGCCTGAGTTCAATTCCCAGCAACCACATGATGACTCGCAACCATCTGTAATGACATCTGGTGCCCTCTTCTGGCGGGCAGGGATACATGCAGACAGGACACTAATAAATAAATCTTTTTTTAAAAAAAGAGAGAGAAGACTGTCTCATGTTAAAAAAAATATTAAAAATTAAAAGCTTAGGAACTGGACTGTTGGTTCAGTGGTTATGAGTACTTGCTTGCCCATGACACTACAGGTCCGTATGTGATACGGGCAACTAGGCTGGAGAATTTTGGTTTTTCAAGACAGGGTTTCTCTGTAGCTTTGGAGCCTGTTCTGGAACTCGCTCTTGTAGACCAGGCTGGCCTCGAACTCGCAGAGATCCACCTGTCTCTGCCTCCCGAGTGCTGGGATTAAAGGCGTGTGCACCACCACCGCCCAGCTAGGCTGGAGATTTAAAAACATACACACACAGACAGAGACACGGGGACACGGGTCATCTTTGATACAAGAATGCCAACTTTATTGTGCTCCAGGGAAGCTTATATA